AGCTGGAAATCATTAATCATAAAACTCCTTTTGCCTTATAATCTTTTTAAAAACATTAATATAATATGCCTTCCTGCCAGCTACAGTATTCTGTTAAACCTGTGAGAATCAGTTCAGTTCATTACACTCTATCATAAGTGAAGAACACTTTATGAGCCTATTCTGTTCATCTGTCACATCTTCCAGCTGAAGATATTGTGCTGCCATATATTGGTGGTTCTAGAAAAAACATGTTTTGTATAATAATTAGAGAACAGTTGATCAGATTTTCATTAAGTTTGGTACGAAGGTTGGGTAACTTACAAAACTAGCATGTTTTGTATAATAATTAGAGAACAGCGGATCAGATTTTCATTAAGTTTGGTATGGAGGTTGGGTAACTTACAAAACTAAACAAACTATTTTGATTTGTTACAGATACTATGTCCAGTGATACAAAGCATGAGAACTCATATATACTCACATTCACATACAAAAGGTTGATAACTCTTTGACTGCCTCCAAGCTTTCTGCTGGAAACCAGGACAGCACGCGTCACAGTTTCCACCACACGTATGGTGTTGACAACGACATAACAGCTTGTATGGGTCATTAGGGTCTGTGATGTCACAAGTGTCTGCATGACCATTACACATACAGCGTCCTCCAATGCTGATGTCTTTAATGGAATAGAAGTACTGGACAGAAAAACAAGTTCTAAGAGTCACTCACTCCCAATATGGTGCAAAATTGGGTTCCAAAGAATATGTATAAACATCTTCCTGGAGAGAATGACCAAAACACTTACACAAATAAGGTCACAATTTCAGAGTCTTCTGAATGCAGAGTAGGTATTAAAATAACAAACAATTTTGTTGAAACTTTGTGTAACTTACCCTTCGGGTTACAGTTGGATCTTGACGGGCAACTGACATAAGATGTCCCAGCAAAGTTTTAGTTCGAAGGAAACGGAGACGAACATTTGTAGCCCTAGTCCATTCTTGTAGCACTGTTGAATTGAAGAAATCATTTGCTGATGGGCGATTGTTCAGCAGAGATACCACAATCTGAAATAGAAAAATTAAAAGTACTCAATTATTTCTCTTTGTATCCTTTAGCATACAGAATTCATATCACACACACGGTATAATGAAGAAAACAGTGTATATATTAATTAAAATATTATTGTAATTGTGTTATATTGAAAGTATGTACACTGACACATATGTGTGAATAAAACATAAAGATGACATTATAAATCATTCACAAAACAATTTCATTCAGCATTTTGAAATGTCCCAAAATGAAAAAAAGGAAGAAAAGAACCCAGCAAAGAAGGCTTGTGTGATGGGGCTCTCTTCACAAGAACTCTTTTCTCTCTCTTAAGAGGAAGAAGTCTAAATAACAGGAAGAAAGTAACATTCAACCAGTCAGGTAAACATATTTACATTGATTTATGGGAAGTATTTTGATACTCTTCATATTTCATTAATATTCACAAGTTTACTGTGATAACAATTTTGTGAAAAATGTGTCAGTATGTTACTAAAACGTCTTAAAAACTGGTAGTAATAATGCTGGTTTCAATTATGTTGGAACCCATGATTCTTGCATTTAACAGAATTATAATATATTAGAATTTGACGACTTTAATCTACATACCATTATAGATGTGCCCTGCTAGAAAAACGACGCACAAATCACCACTTGTGTGGTATGGACAAATGTTATGCATGGATAGTAATAACATTCCTTAGAGAAAACAAATGGTGGAGATGTCAAAGAACACCTTCGGAAGCTATATAACAAGGCCACATAAGAGAAGATATATAAATCAGTGCGGGGAAAGACAAAACTTAGCTACAAGAAGAGCACTTTATCTTTGCTCACATACCTCACCACCTTCCAGAGGCACCACCTTGGAGTACTGCGTCTCACAGACTACAGAATCATCTCTGGTGATAAGCTGTAGGCTTTCTCGCCCAAAATAGGTCTCACAGTCTCTGCAAATGTAATGTCAGCTTTATGAGGGACACAGCATTTCCTGGGAGTGTTAATGAAATCACAAGAGTTACCCAGATGGTATACTGAAAGTAATAATGAAATGAGGATATTGGATAAGAAAATGAGGAAACATTAGAATGAAATGTGTTATGCTTGAATAACAAAAGGATTCCTTTGAAGACATCACAAATAAAAGCAGTAAATGAAAGTTGAGGAGACCAAATAAGGGAATACAAATGAAACAGAGATGGAAACAATAGACACAAATACAAGAGGAGAGCTTATGGAAAGACAGACTTCATTGCTCTTACTTTGTGTAACAAAACTTTGGAAGTGAAGCCCATTATGGGTGGTTGTACTGGCAACCAATGGGAACATCACATAAAACCCATATTTATTTGTGCATTAGCAATCTTAATTATCATCCTATAAAATCAAATGATTTTCCAGTTTTCTTAATTCTGTGTGCACAACTAAAATTTGAAGAAAATCGCTTGAAACACAGAAAATATACTGTAGAATGAGAAGCTGCATGAAGGACATATACACAGTTGGAACATGGGTGGTTTATACCATAACCAAATCCCCTCACCAGTTATTACTCTGAACCTATAACTGTCTGATACAGTTACAGAAATAGGAAGCAGAGTCAATGTTTGTTTAGATGACAAGATCTCTACCCAATCCTCCCAATTTATGTCAAGTGTCCTGGAGTTCTATTTTCACATGTACACAAACACACCTAATATTAAGTGTGTTAGCATACAATGTTGTGTGTTAATATGGCATACCCTGGTGTGTCGGCAAAGTACTGCCATGGCTGATAAGTCACTCCATTGTCAACAGATTTTTCCAGAACCCATACACCAGGTCGAGGTGAGTTAGCCATCTTGATGAACACATAAGCCACATGGAACTCCTGCAAATTAAATTATACATTACTTTCAGTAGGCCTACTTCTGAAACACAAGCGACATGGACTGCAAATGCCAGTAAAGGAGGAGCAGTAACCTGTTACAACCCCCAGGTCCTTGAAAGATGGATAAATCATGCCTTGCTGCATAATTCTCAATGCTTGAGTAAACATGACGTCTGATTTAAACATGTATAACATAAAAGAGTTATAATTGCTCTTTCAATAAACATGTTTAGGCTGCTTATAAAAACTATACATTTCTGGAGATGACTGTCATCTGGGATGTTATGTCACTAGTCTCATAAAAACTGGCCGACGTTTCGGAGGTGCTTACTGCCTCCATCATCATTGTCTTTACTGTAAATGTGAATTATTGAAAGGGAGACGCAGGTCGTGGCCTGATTCAGAGAAACATGAAGACTTTTCCTGGCCATGAAACTCGATACACCGAGGGAAGGACAGACGAGGCTGCCTGTCTGCTTGTGGATGAGGAGGCCGCTAGAGCGATATTCCGCCCCCACATCCTGTGCAATTAACTGGCTTCCTCTGGTCCGTCAGGGTGGCTGATAAGATAACACAGCAGTTGTAATCAGAGACTCAACAGACAGCATCTTAAGAAGAAAGAAGAGTGATAAGAGGGAATGTAGTGCAGTTCCTGTGTCAACTCTTGTTACATGTTAATCTTGTTATAATACAGACAGTGCCTTCTCTATGCATGGCACATCCAGCACCAGAAACACTTCATTATGTTTTGTCTTCCTTCAGAAACATACTCCTCACTGGAGAAACATGGTTTTATGGAATACAAGGTTCATTACCGCGTTTACAATAGCCAGCCAGCTGAATCCTGTACACGTACACCAAAAGATTCATTTTAATAATGTCCTCCAACGCACCCCTATGTATTCCAAACTATCCCTTCCAGACCAAAACGTGCACTTTTCACCCTGATGAGGGAGGTAGTAGGCTCCTCTGCAACGTCGGTTAATACGTACCAGACCACAGGGAGCGACATTCCAGAAGACAGTCATCATCAAGATGTAAAAATGTAATTTCTCAATGCTTTTGACATGTTCCGTCCATCTTTTCCTCGATATATATAATCGCTCTAACAATAGCCTATTAGGTGAAGTGTTTGTGAAAAAAGTTTTGTGCAGTAAATATTTTCGAATCAATGAAATAAACACTGCATTCGTTTGTTCCTGAGTTTAATAAAATATAAGCTCTGCAACTGAAACAGCGTCATTAAATAAAGACGATAACAATGGCCGTATTATAAATTCACAGACCAGTTTGAAAAGTGACAATTTGAAAACTTTGTTGTCCCATATTCGAATCCCGACAGAGGTGTTTCGTGGCCTTCCCAAATTTCTCCAAGAAAATAACTGTAAAGTTTTTAAAAATTACTCCCACGATCACAAAAATGGAGCCTTCACAGACTGCGTTTGAGAATTCATAATTCCTTTATATGATTTGGTTGAAAAAAATAGTGTATAAGTGTTTGAACCGGATTCAATCGGTTCAGGACAGGGTTCAGTGGCGGGATTTTGTGATTCGGGTTGCATAAAAGGAGGGATTTCTTGACTGGCTCTACGGCATAGTGTTATTCAGTTGTGTTACCAATTTAACATGGGCCATTGTTTAATAATGGCAGGGATTTGCTATTTATGGCAACAATCAAACGATTCTTATACGCCTACAAATCTGTTGAAAACATTTAACATACAGCCCTTCCCGCTGGAACCCTCAGACTTCTGTCAGTCTGTTGAATTCAACACCAAACTAGCTTTCTTTCCGAAAGGGCGCCATTGGTTGCCATGTGAAAGAGGCGACCCAACATAAACAATGACCTGTATTGAAGTCCCTCTCTACAGACCGACGTATTGTATTACAGCCTACCCCGATGACAAAAGCCAGAGGATTCAGAGCAGCCAGCTCAGGGGCTGTGGGCCAAGAAGTCCATTTCACCAGACCCAAAATTCTCTTGTACCACATACGGTACAACATTTAGAAATCGTAGCTTTTCGCAGGAACCATGAAATGAAAAATAGGTTTTCTTGAGGATTTAACGGCCGATAAACATTTAAATTTTTATGGAATGCTAAAGTTCATTACCATTTCCACAAAAGTTGACCATGGTACGAGCAAGAACAAAAATCCATCGAGACAGTTCAGAATCTACACTGACTAGGCAACCGGGCTTCGATTCCCGGCAGAAACCAAGTTTTCTCGTCAACACCCCATCCAGGCCGGCTGTGAGGCAGACCGGCCGCCGACCAATGGATGTGCTGGGTTCATTCCCCGGAATCAGAGCGTGCCCACGGTCAAAAACTGCAGTTATTCCTTGAAAATAGAAGTAAATATAACCCTGTTTTATAGTTGGGAAAATACTGGAACATGCAAATTTCAATGAATGACTTACACAGGCACTCAGGAAAGTTGTAGTAACCATCATAGCACTTGTCACAGAACTTCCCAGCATAATTAGGTTTGCAGGGGCACTGCCCACCAGTAGATTCACAGTGGAACCCCCTGGTCCCATTGAGGTGACATTCACAAGGTCGACATTCAGGATAGCCAAAGTAGCCAAAACTGCAACTGTCACAGTTAGGTGGAGTGAACTCAACACGACATTCACAGCGACCTGTCCCCTCTTCACAGTTCCCAGTTGAATAAAAGTAGTTGCACTGACAAGCTGGAACAAGCAACACATACTACAGTATCATCATAATGTCTCCATTCAAGAGTGGCTTCAAGAAATGGCTGGTGCACAAGCATCTTTCACCTTTTGTCCCAGACTGGCTTTGGTCTTGGTATTATTACAAGTACTCATCAAAGAACATAAGAGAAGACTACAGGATTAAGTCACTTTGTTTATAAGAATTGCTTTTCAGTTTATTGTCTGGAATGTGGATGCATGATTTATGCAAAATTGATGACAACAGTCTGTCACTGAAAATAATACAGTGTTGCCTATTCATAAAAGTGTAACATTTTAACAACTGAATAAACAGTACATGGTGTACTGGTTACAAAATACAACTTATTTTATTCATTTAAAATTATTGCATGTATATTACAGACCCAATATTCATGTCATGATCATCATATTTCTTCTGTATTGTACATGTTTCACCTGTTACATTCATATGTTTGCAAGGTCACACTGTAGATCACATGATTTGTACCAACAACAAAACAGTTTTCACCAAACCAACCTGGAGGAATGTCTTCCAGCAACATTTTGGATTTTATAGCTGCCATTATTTCCTTTCATGAAAAAAGATAAACTTCTGATGGTATATATATAGACATTTTGACATGTGAATAATGTACAACACACAGAAATTCAGAGTGAAAATAAACTTACGGTGACAAACATCTGTTTCATTGAGTTTCTTTCCGAATGGACGAAAGTAGCCGGGTTTGCATCGGTTGCAGTTGATGCCCTCAGTGTTGTCTCGGCAGTTCTGGCACACACCACCTCCTTCGTAGTAACCATGTATATCTAGCGAGAGATGTTGCCTGTCTACTTCAGGGTCATATATGCACTCCTCGGTATGTCCAAAACAGTTGCAAGCTGGAAATCATTAATCATAAAACTCCTTTTGCCTTATAATCTTTTTAAAAACATTAATATAATATGCCTTCCTGCCAGCTACAGTATTCTGTTAAACCTGTGAGAATCAGTTCAGTTCATTACACTCTATCATAAATGAAGAACACTTTATGAGCCTATTCTGTTCATCTGTCACATCTTCCAGCTGAAGATATTGTGCTGCCATATATTGGTGGTTCTAGAAAAAACATGTTTTGTATAATAATTAGAGAACAGTTGATCAGATTTTCATTAAGTTTGGTACGAAGGTTGGGTAACTTACAAAACTAGACAAACTATTTTGATTTGTTACAGATACTATGTCCAGTGATACAAAGCATGAGAACTCATATATACTCACATTCACATACAAAAGGTTGATAACTCTTTGACTGCCTCCAAGCTTTCTGCTGGAAACCAGGACAGCACGCGTCACAGTTTCCACCACACGTATGGTGTTGACAACGACATAACAGCTTGTATGGGTCATTAGGGTCTGTGATGTCACAAGTGTCTGCATGACCATTACACATACAGCGTCCTCCAATGCTGATGTCTTTAATGGAATAGAAGTACTGGACAGAAAAACAAGTTCTAAGAGTCACTCACTCCCAATATGGTGCAAAATTGGGTTCCAAAGAATATGTATAAACATCTTCCTGGAGAGAATGACCAAAACACTTACACAAATAAGGTCACAATTTCAGAGTCTTCTGAATGCAGAGTAGGTATTAAAATAACAAACAATTTTGTTGAAACTTTGTGTAACTTACCCTTCGGGTTACAGTTGGATCTTGACGGGCAACTGACATAAGATGTCCCAGCAAAGTTTTAGTTCGAAGGAAACGGAGACGAACATTTGTAGCCCTAGTCCATTCTTGTAGCACTGTTGAATTGAAGAAATCATTTGCTGATGGGCGATTGTTCAGCAGAGATACCACAATCTGAAATAGAAAAATTAAAAGTACTCAATTATTTCTCTTTGTATCCTTTAGCATACAGAATTCATATCACACACACGGTATAATGAAGAAAACAGTGTATATATTAATTAAAATATTATTGTAATTGTGTTATATTGAAAGTATGTACACTGACACATATGTGTGAATAAAACATAAAGATGACATTATAAATCATTCACAAAACAATTTCATTCAGCATTTTGAAATGTCCCAAAATGAAAAAAAGGAAGAAAAGAACCCAGCAAAGAAGGCTTGTGTGATGGGGCTCTCTTCACAAGAACTCTTTTCTCTCTCTTAAGAGGAAGAAGTCTAAATAACAGGAAGAAAGTAACATTCAACCAGTCAGGTAAACATATTTACATTGATTTATGGGAAGTATTTTGATACTCTTCATATTTCATTAATATTCACAAGTTTACTGTGATAACAATTTTGTGAAAAATGTGTCAGTATGTTACTAAAACGTCTTAAAAACTGGTAGTAATAATGCTGGTTTCAATTATGTTGGAACCCATGATTCTTGCATTTAACAGAATTATAATATATTAGAATTTGACGACTTTAATCTACATACCATTATAGATGTGCCCTGCTAGAAAAACGACGCACAAATCACCACTTGTGTGGTATGGACAAATGTTATGCATGGATAGTAATAACATTCCTTAGAGAAAACAAATGGTGGAGATGTCAAAGAACACCTTCGGAAGCTATATAACAAGGCCACATAAGAGAAGATATATAAATCAGTGCGGGGAAAGACAAAACTTAGCTACAAGAAGAGCACTTTATCTTTGCTCACATACCTCACCACCTTCCAGAGGCACCACCTTGGAGTACTGCGTCTCACAGACTACAGAATCATCTCTGGTGATAAGCTGTAGGCTTTCTCGCCCAAAATAGGTCTCACAGTCTCTGCAAATGTAATGTCAGCTTTATGAGGGACACAGCATTTCCTGGGAGTGTTAATGAAATCACAAGAGTTACCCAGATGGTATACTGAAAGTAATAATGAAATGAGGATATTGGATAAGAAAATGAGGAAACATTAGAATGAAATGTGTTATGCTTGAATAACAAAAGGATTCCTTTGAAGACATCACAAATAAAAGCAGTAAATGAAAGTTGAGGAGACCAAATAAGGGAATACAAATGAAACAGAGATGGAAACAATAGACACAAATACAAGAGGAGAGCTTATGGAAAGACAGACTTCATTGCTCTTACTTTGTGTAACAAAACTTTGGAAGTGAAGCCCATTATGGGTGGTTGTACTGGCAACCAATGGGAACATCACATAAAACCCATATTTATTTGTGCATTAGCAATCTTAATTATCATCCTATAAAATCAAATGATTTTCCAGTTTTCTTAATTCTGTGTGCACAACTAAAATTTGAAGAAAATCGCTTGAAACACAGAAAATATACTGTAGAATGAGAAGCTGCATGAAGGACATATACACAGTTGGAACATGGGTGGTTTATACCATAACCAAATCCCCTCACCAGTTATTACTCTGAACCTATAACTGTCTGATACAGTTACAGAAATAGGAAGCAGAGTCAATGTTTGTTTAGATGACAAGATCTCTACCCAATCCTCCCAATTTATGTCAAGTGTCCTGGAGTTCTATTTTCACATGTACACAAACACACCTAATATTAAGTGTGTTAGCATACAATGTTGTGTGTTAATATGGCATACCCTGGTGTGTCGGCAAAGTACTGCCATGGCTGATAAGTCACTCCATTGTCAACAGATTTTTCCAGAACCCATACACCAGGTCGAGGTGAGTTAGCCATCTTGATGAACACATAAGCCACATGGAACTCCTGCAAATTAAATTATACATTACTTTCAGTAGGCCTACTTCTGAAACACAAGCGACATGGACTGCAAATGCCAGTAAAGGAGGAGCAGTAACCTGTTACAACCCCCAGGTCCTTGAAAGATGGATAAATCATGCCTTGCTGCATAATTCTCAATGCTTGAGTAAACATGACGTCTGATTTAAACATGTATAACATAAAAGAGTTATAATTGCTCTTTCAATAAACATGTTTAGGCTGCTTATAAAAACTATACATTTCTGGAGATGACTGTCATCTGGGATGTTATGTCACTAGTCTCATAAAAACTGGCCGACGTTTCGGAGGTGCTTACTGCCTCCATCATCATTGTCTTTACTGTAAATGTGAATTATTGAAAGGGAGACGCAGGTCGTGGCCTGATTCAGAGAAACATGAAGACTTTTCCTGGCCATGAAACTCGATACACCGAGGGAAGGACAGACGAGGCTGCCTGTCTGCTTGTGGATGAGGAGGCCGCTAGAGCGATATTCCGCCCCCACATCCTGTGCAATTAACTGGCTTCCTCTGGTCCGTCAGGGTGGCTGATAAGATAACACAGCAGTTGTAATCAGAGACTCAACAGACAGCATCTTAAGAAGAAAGAAGAGTGATAAGAGGGAATGTAGTGCAGTTCCTGTGTCAACTCTTGTTACATGTTAATCTTGTTATAATACAGACAGTGCCTTCTCTATGCATGGCACATCCAGCACCAGAAACACTTCATTATGTTTTGTCTTCCTTCAGAAACATACTCCTCACTGGAGAAACATGGTTTTATGGAATACAAGGTTCATTACCGCGTTTACAATAGCCAGCCAGCTGAATCCTGTACACGTACACCAAAAGATTCATTTTAATAATGTCCTCCAACGCACCCCTATGTATTCCAAACTATCCCTTCCAGACCAAAACGTGCACTTTTCACCCTGATGAGGGAGGTAGTAGGCTCCTCTGCAACGTCGGTTAATACGTACCAGACCACAGGGAGCGACATTCCAGAAGACAGTCATCATCAAGATGTAAAAATGTAATTTCTCAATGCTTTTGACATGTTCCGTCCATCTTTTCCTCGATATATATAATCGCTCTAACAATAGCCTATTAGGTGAAGTGTTTGTGAAAAAAGTTTTGTGCAGTAAATATTTTCGAATCAATGAAATAAACACTGCATTCGTTTGTTCCTGAGTTTAATAAAATATAAGCTCTGCAACTGAAACAGCGTCATTAAATAAAGACGATAACAATGGCCGTATTATAAATTCACAGACCAGTTTGAAAAGTGACAATTTGAAAACTTTGTTGTCCCATATTCGAATCCCGACAGAGGTGTTTCGTGGCCTTCCCAAATTTCTCCAAGAAAATAACTGTAAAGTTTTTAAAAATTACTCCCACGATCACAAAAATGGAGCCTTCACAGACTGCGTTTGAGAATTCATAATTCCTTTATATGATTTGGTTGAAAAAAATAGTGTATAAGTGTTTGAACCGGATTCAATCGGTTCAGGACAGGGTTCAGTGGCGGGATTTTGTGATTCGGGTTGCATAAAAGGAGGGATTTCTTGACTGGCTCTACGGCATAGTGTTATTCAGTTGTGTTACCAATTTAACATGGGCCATTGTTTAATAATGGCAGGGATTTGCTATTTATGGCAACAATCAAACGATTCTTATACGCCTACAAATCTGTTGAAAACATTTAACATACAGCCCTTCCCGCTGGAACCCTCAGACTTCTGTCAGTCTGTTGAATTCAACACCAAACTAGCTTTCTTTCCGAAAGGGCGCCATTGGTTGCCATGTGAAAGAGGCGACCCAACATAAACAATGACCTGTATTGAAGTCCCTCTCTACAGACCGACGTATTGTATTACAGCCTACCCCGATGACAAAAGCCAGAGGATTCAGAGCAGCCAGCTCAGGGGCTGTGGGCCAAGAAGTCCATTTCACCAGACCCAAAATTCTCTTGTACCACATACGGTACAACATTTAGAAATCGTAGCTTTTCGCAGGAACCATGAAATGAAAAATAGGTTTTCTTGAGGATTTAACGGCCGATAAACATTTAAATTTTTATGGAATGCTAAAGTTCATTACCATTTCCACAAAAGTTGACCATGGTACGAGCAAGAACAAAAATCCATCGAGACAGTTCAGAATCTACACTGACTAGGCAACCGGGCTTCGATTCCCGGCAGAAACCAAGTTTTCTCGTCAACACCCCATCCAGGCCGGCTGTGAGGCAGACCGGCCGCCGACCAATGGATGTGCTGGGTTCATTCCCCGGAATCAGAGCGTGCCCACGGTCTGAAGCTGACCACTCACCTCCATCTAGCGCCCGTGGTTAAGAATGCGTGGAGCTATACCTCCACTCGCTCGTCCGTCTACCGACACAATTTGCCTCGCCACTCAACTGTTTCAAGGTCCATTTTAATATTACCCTTCAATTAATGTTCATTTTCTACCACGTGGTATTTTACCTTCACATTTTTGAACTAAAATTTTGTGTTTTTCATTTGTCTTTTGGGTCCTAAATGTCCCGCCCACTTCGACCTCCTTAATTAAATAGTATTGGGCGACAAGTATAAATTATGTTGCTCCTTTGTGTAATTTTCTCCATCTACCATACACGTTTCTTTGGTCCAAAAAATATGGTAACAAATCAATTTTCTGCGATGAAGATTTTTAAACAGTTCATTCAACCCCAATCTGGAGGATAATATATTTTCATCATGAAGATGACAGCCTTCTGGGACAATGCGTCGTGAAGTCTCGTAGAAGTTCACAGACGTTTCAGAGGTGTGTACTGCCTTCATAATCAAGGTGATGACTGACCGTACTTTCGAAACGTCGATCAATTTCTACGATACTAAAAATCGCAATGTCCCAGATGGCTGTGATCCGCATATTCCCTGCCCTTAGAACCTGAAATCTCATTAATTTCGGGAAGATTTTAATAAATGAGTAACCAGATCAATGCAAAACAGACCTATCTGCATTCAAAACTGGAGTACACTTTTGCACGTGTGTGATCTGTAGTTATTTTTCTGAAGACAGCTTCTGAAAAAAATCAACAAGCTCAATGTGTGGAATTCTGTGTGGGAATATCACCAAGGAACAAAGCACCAGCTGAGGAGCACATGGCGATTATGTCAGCACTTCTGTTGCTAGCCTGCCGCACATCCTTCCTCACCCCCCCCCCCCGGGCCCACCAACATACACCCCTCCTACCAGTGTAACAAAGTTTTCTGTCTTCAGGAGATGTCAGCTCATTACACGCATAAACTTTCTTCATATTGCTGGAGACAACTGGCATCTGCCCATTTATTTAAAACCAACATTAAATTGGGAATGGGTCCAATGACTGTAGGCTACCATTTTTACCTTTAAATAACTAATAAACTTCAAAATAAGACAATAATAATAAATCAAGAACAACACACAAAAAGTGGATCATGTCATTAACGTACATATTCTGAATAGCAGAGGAGCTGTAATTTCGAGGCGATCTGTAGCTTTACTCTTTGGTGACATAACGAAATGTGCCACAGTAAAGAACGCCACGAGGGTGATGTCACTGTCCTTAAAGAGGACATCTGTTCACTCGCAAGAGGGGAGGACTACTCCAGGGGCATATGCCACCAGGACGGGAACCGTTCCAAATGCGTTCTTTGCTAGATAAAGTCAAATCTGTCAAAGTATTGACTCCTGATGGAATGAGTTCGTAGCTCTGCTATAAGCGTTTATTTATTTATTTATTTGTTGTCTGCTTAAAGGCTGTCTCTAGCTCCACTATGTAGCATCCCACTGACTCTTCTTCTTGATAGGAGTCCAAGCAATGCTGGACATACGACACCTCTTTCCAGCCACTTATGTTCAAACCACTGCTGCAACCAGAGTTACAATGGACACGATCCAATCAAAGGTCGTGCTGATCTCACCTTTATCCATCAATGTTATGTTAGATTCACCATTCCTCATTGAACCTTACCTGTCCCAGGTCGATGGTAAGGTTGACCTCATTGTATTTGACACCACGCGAAAGTGGCGGGCTTTGCCACCAAGTCTCTGCACCATCCACTGCATACTGTGCGGGATGCGTCTTGTCAGGCTGGCCGGGGTCACAATAGTCACACACCTGAAATGCAAGTCAGGGAATTACAAGCGACTGAACTTGCACACCATTGAATTGTCATCTCACAAGTATTATTTTTTTTAAAAAAAACCCGTGAAAGTTCACGAAATGTACGCATAATAGGAAGGCCATGTCTGTATATCCACACGACGGGGTTCTCACGGCAGTGAAGATATCTTGGTTTTTACTGGACTGAAAAGCTATATGTAGATCTGTGGGCAGATACCAATATTTCAAAGAAACTTACTGCCTCCATCTTCATGACTGAAAATGGGGGGGCAGCATTTCCCTTCGAAACGTTTGTTGTACCCACCTAAGAGTCTGTACGACGTGACAACCTGGAATGCCACTGCCGGACAAAAAAGAAATTAACTCATTTCGAAAATGTTCCCTCGAAGTGCGGCTTTGATCTCATGTTTTGACAGGCTTGTGTCTGTCTGATAGGAAGATAAACTGTCGACAAGTCAGTCTACTTGAATTGCGCTGAGCCCAACAGCAATTACTGCCGATGTATGTACAAGCCCAGTCAAATCTTTGTGCACTTATATTTCATTCCCTTCTTGCCTTCTGTGCTTTGCATCAGCTTGTGGTTTCCATGCATTACCGTCAGTCAGTCAACTGTACTAAAAAAAGGTGTCATTCCCACAAAAGTACGAAGTAACAATCACGATTTCAAAACGTAAAACGACGTTTCGGAGATGGTCCGGAGATAGGGATTAGCTCTATCTAGTTGGCCCAACTGTGTAGGAACCTGAAGACGGAGATAGAGTCCCATCTCCGAAACGTCGTTTTACGTTTTATATTTACTAGACGATGGATAATATTCAAGGAAATTTTTATTCAATTGACGATTTCTGGTCATTCACAAGGGCCGAGCTCAGTGTGTGGCTGAGATGGAAGACCGTGGTTCTGTTACCGACAGGGGCGACTATAAGGATCGTGCAGTCTAGTAACCCATGGTTACCGAGGGCTCTTTCTGGGGGCCACTGGAACGTGAAGCTCAACTCTTAATAATGAATGGAACATTACCTCCATAGTCCCTATACGCCTTTGGTACAGTACGCTTTTCTTGAACTACGTACTCGTCAGATGAAAGAGACTAATAAGAAAAATCAGGACATTTTTAAAGATTGATTCAAATAAACTGCATAACGGAAGTGAATGTTGGCAAATGTAATGTGAAGTCGGGTTTCTTTTTTTTTTGGGGGGGGGGATATTTCGAAGAGGGAGGCGGTGCGTGTTATATTTGGGTAAAAACAGAGTGTTCCAAAAAGATATAAACACACATTCAATGAATAAAATAAAGATGTTTTAACCAAAACCTGCAAACGTCAGCTATGACACTTTGCGAATTAGCGAGTCTTCGTGTTGGTGTTCAAAATAACCCCCGTTTGATTCGTGGCACAGTTGGCAGCAGTGAGTAGCTGACTGAAAAGCGGCCACCAAAATTTCTGCTGTGTATATACATCTTTTTGGGACACCCTGTGCTATTTTGGTCTTCGTTTTGCGGTCTTCTGGGCTGAGGAAATGAAGGGGAGAAAACGGCGGAAGTAACGAATTAACGAGAAGAATCCGCACTTACTCACACATCGGCCTCTCTTTGGAGGGAGGAATTGAATTTCCATGTCCCGAAACGCAGAAATAATAAATTGAAGGAGGCACGAGAACCTGAGGAAAAACATTGTAAGCGTGGTTGTCTGAAGCGTTCTGGCACCGATAGGACCTTGCAAGCACAATAATTGTATCAGACTGGTAGTAATTAATTCCTGAGAACTGTCCATTGGTTCCATCTTCCTACATGAGATCTTGCATTGTGTCGATTGCAATAATAAATCGTAAACCGTTTTGATCCAAGGACCAGTAAGACCGCAACACGTTTTCCGAGGGCTACACCCTGTCTATCTCACAATGTACAGAACAAATAATAAATAGCCCACAAACCTAATTACAATCAACACACAAATATGTTTAACTGCAGCATAAAAATTACCGTCTTTGTGTGTCATGAAAATGAAAGCGATGTCGCCATCCGACGTACTGAAATTTCGTTATTAAAAATTATTCAAGAAGACTTATGAAATAATTTGTCATAAATCTCTTGTCGGTATATAATGACAAGAAATTGCATGTTACAACTTGCCTCTGGATTACGCACTTCAGAAGTTCGCCCTTACAAACCAGAGTGATTAGCGTTCTTACTTCGCATTCGAGAGGTCCCTTGTTCGAATCTAGCTGGGAGATCGGATGTCCTGAATTTGTTCCACGTTTTTCAGTATCACTAGGCAAATTCTGAAACAGTGCCTTGAAACATACTAGGACCGCTTTATTTCACCTTTACGACCTATGCAGTTGAAAATTGTCGTTAAAAACACAAAAATCAATCAGTTGTTAACGGAGGCGGCCTGAGTCTACACGAGGTATTGGGTGGATGTCCATGTTGGTCTTCTGGGTTGTAACGCCATGTGGATTTGTAGGCAGATACTGACGTTTCGGGGAGACATACTGCCTCCATCTTCAGGATATCTATCTGCAAGACCACAACCCAGAAGGCCAACATGGACTTCCTCACAGCCGTGAGAACCTCAAATCTCTATAGGATAAACAGTGCCAGTATTTGAGGTGCAGTAATCTGAGTAATAGAGCCACGGTGGTCTAGCGGTTAGAACGCTGGCCTTGTAATCCTGGGGTCTCGGGTTCGATTCCCGGCGGTGCCCCGAATTTATAACTTGTGTTGGGAAAGGCCGTGGTCTAGGCAACACGGAGTTTTCCTCCGTGGCATCCCAACAATTACTCCATTCACACACAGAAGAAGGGAATGGCAAACCACTTCTGGATCATCTGCCAAGAACGTATATGAACAGGTCCCAGTCCGAGAAAAGGATGGAAGGATCCTGTTCATATGGACCTGTCGTCAGACAGAACACTAAATAAATAATAATCTGAAATAAATACGTCTTCAGACTATTTGCTCTGATTCTTATGAAGGCTGCCTGAGGACATGCAAGGCAGGTAGTTTAATTTTTTATAGTCCTACAGAACGTCCCCTTCCCATCTGAGCCTTTCCATGAGATTGAAGGGAACCTGCTGGAAAATCCAGCCATACATCCCAGAAACTGGGTGTGATCTATCGATGAGGTAATTGGGGGAATCAAGCAACTCTCGAAATGAGCCGGGTGGCAGTAGAAGGAAATTCAACACATTCGAACTCCATCTTTCTTCAGCGAGGCTCGTGTTGGCATTTGGAAACAAAATCTGAAAGACTAGAAAAGCGGATGAAATGAAATTTATGAGAGCTGCAGATTACAAAGGATTAGTAGGATCTGAGATTCTCACGGCGGCGAATTCGAAGATGGCTGTCTTCTGGGTTGTAACGCCCTGATGATGGAGGCAGCAAGGACCTCTAAAACGTCGGTAAACTCCTACCAGACTACGCGGCGCTACAACTCAGAAGACAGCCATCTTAGTTTTCAGGATTAAATCGTAAGTCACATGCAGACACTTCGGAGCTTCTACTTGTGGTGAGGCAGACACACAATTATGAAACCAAAACGAGATTTTCGATTTTCAAACGTTTTATACACGGTATGGTTTGTATACAATACACATTACATGTGTGCCATCAAAAGTGTTGTCCAACCCCCACCAATCGTCCACATGTCCGCGACATTTACTACACATTAAAAAAGTTACGCATAAATTAAATTTTTAAATTCCAGCCCCAAAAATAGAGTGTCACTGTCAGTAGAGAAAACTGGCATTTGTTTCTTTGTCATGGAGGCACCGGAATTTAAGCGACACCCCATACAAGTGTAAGCTTGTTTAATTAACGCCTCGTGAGTAAAGTGAACTTTGGATGTGTGCTGCAAATCAGTCAAAGTTACGACACTCAAAATTAGGTCACTTTTTGTGGGCTTGCAACGGTTAGGATCGCTCTAAACAACAGAGCATGTTTATGAAATGTACTACTACAAAAAGTACTGAAATCTGCAGAGAGCGTTTCATTTTAAAATCGTCTTATGTAACACATGGATGGATCATAGACTGAACTTGTACAACATTTTACCGATTAGTTCTGAAACTGTTGCCTAGATTTCGACAATTAGGCCCTCTTGAATGGGATGTTGCGCCTTATAGTCTAGTTGAAACCTACCGACGTTTCCAGTGATGCTTATTGCCTCCATCGTCGCCCTGAAGATGGAAGCAACAGAGATTTCTGAAACTCCCATCTTTACACTCGCCGCCGTGAGAAAATGAACTCTCGCTGAGGGCTACATATTACGTTACATAAAACATTTTTACAATGAGCCATTCTGAGAAAACAAGTGACCTGAAGTTCAACCAAATTTTAAGTAACTAAAATGTTATACTCGGCCAATCAGTCCCGCACGAGTACAAATCCGCTTAATAAAACATGCGGACGGACGCTGACAAGAACACTTAAGAATTAATTAATTTCCTTCTCGTTCACGAGGAATAGTTTGGTCTAGAAACCGTCAAAGTAATCCTATTGGCTTTCATAACTAACCTGCCCTTGTATAAGGTTCACGTTCACATCTCGGTCCGCGTTGGCCCCAACCAACTTGCAGTATAGTTCCGGTTCTTGGATCTCCTCCCCACAGGTGGCAGTAGCATAGATTCGGCGTCCCTCTGCCAGGTTGAAATAGGGCGGCGTCAGGATGACGCCCCGGGCTGCCTTGACGCCCAGTAAGACCACTGCCAGCAACTGCAACAGCCTCATCGTTCCGCTCACTTCCTCGCCGCTCAGTGGTCGGCACGTTACTGCCGCCTCGCTGCTTGCAGCCCAGTGCATGCGGCGCTGACCACGCCCCGTCTGCGAGTCTCTCGCTGCAGGTCCAGGTTCGATTCTGAGGCACGCTTAGCAAACTGTATGCGCCGACCCCGACCACGCGGTTCTTCAGAAAATCTCACAACGAAAACTTGTACTCTTTGGAGTACACTGACATTCATAAAGCGTTCCTCACGGCACACCAATAGGTCACTGTTGCACAAATGCGATCCAAGGCCATTGTTGAGCAACAGCGTATTCCAACAATGTCCATACGCCATTGCAACCAGGATGGTGTTGTGGTGGACTGTGGAACAAAGCCCCTGCAGCAACGATCACTGGGGGTCATGCCCCAATGAAGTGAGTGTCCTGGGAAGCAAAGCCCCAGGGGTTAAATAAAAATCCTAGTTGGGAGGCAGCGGGGCATTACCTGGAGGTGCAGTTCCTGGAAGTGGCCTAGCCTCATGGGTGGCGAGGCCCCTTGGGGGTAGTTTCAGTCCTCTGATGTGGTACAGGCAAAGGAGTGTCAGACCCTGGAAAGGTAATGCTATGAAATAACAATAGGAACAGCAATAGGATTAAGCATAACAATGTCTACATTGTTTTGCAACAGTGGTAATGCAGTTGATAGCAAAGTTCTAATATACAAATAGAAAAGTATATAGACTTTTGGCTGGGAAAGCAACAAACTCTTGTAAAATCAAGACACAGATTGGATAATCTTCATGAAACCAAGGTTTGATGAAGGTGATTGGACTAATTCTTCTTCAAGTACTATTATAGTGAACAAAAGATAAACTTTGGTCAGGAAACTTGGATGGTAGCCATTTTGAAAAATTAGCCACCACTGGGATGGTGATATGCAAAGTTATTCTGGGGACGTTACACAAACACAGCATACTGATGGAGTAAATGTTTTTATTTCTAATAATTTATATTAACATATTTCTAACAGCCAGATAAAAATACATTATTTACACACACACATTCACACACACACCATGTCACTAAGTGCAACAATACTCAATTTATAGGTAGTCCACACCCAATACACAACTAACAGATGGAAACAGCTGTTCAATGTTTCCACCACAATCATTAAAAATTCTCTCTTTAAAATGTTGATGTGGAAGTCACCAGGAAGAAGAGAAGAAGACCAAGAGTTGGATGGATAAAGAAACTCTGATATGTAATGCCAGAGACAGGAGTGGAAGAATCATGGTGAATGGACAGAGAAGAATGTCAACCCGGAATAAATACACAACATAGACATTAAGATACACACAAACTGTTACAGGGTAACTCAACAGTACCAGTTTTTGTGCTGCTGATGCTCTTTGATTGGACGGGTGATATGATACTTGCAGTGCTTACAGAATTAACAATAGTTTTGGATATTTTCCAACTAAAAAGTTTATTGCAACCTTCATGTGTAAATAAGATTAACGATAATGAGGTCCATCAAGGACTCCACAATGAGACAAAATACCTTTGCTGCTGCCAGCAACAATATTTTTCAATCATGTGTATAGACATAACAAATTCATATTATGTACAATATCATATGCTTAGACTTACCAACTACTGGACTTTTTTGTCTGTGTTTGAAATCTTTTTGCCACATGCCAGTTATTCTGTAATGTCAAGTACAAGCTGTTACATACTGCTTACAACAACACCTAGCACACAACTAGATACAGAATCTAGAAATAAGATCTCTTTGGATGTTTGTAGTACATGGCCGAAAACATGATGGAGCTACTCAAAAACACAGAAACCGAAAAGTTAACCAGAAGAGTCACATCTGCAGAATCCATGTAGATTGTAAAAACTCGAGCTGCAACAACGAAAATGTGAACCATTTAATTCACATGAAACATAAGTTTTATATTCAATAAAATGTGGGAAATATGTGAAAAAATGTATGTATGTATGCATAACTCATGACCAAAACTATGGAAAATATTTCGACAGACATTAATGCTGTTAATGATTTTGGGTGCTTGCACCACGTACAAGAGCACTGTGTTGCTGACGTTTCAGAGGAGTGTACTGCCTCCATCAACAGGGTTAAAATGAGTGAAGGATCAACATTCACAATGACTCATAATGAATTCTTAAAATCAACTGTCAGAGAACAGATGTTAAATCCTTAAGAACAAAAATGAGATAGCTTAGTGCATATGATATACAACAATAAATATAAATTACATCCACAATAAAAGAGAAGAAACAGACTGGCCTCTCAATTATGGACTAACTGTATGAGACCTAACATTTTCATAGCAGTCCATATCCATTCCAGAATCTTTTAGACATTGTACTGTGTTCCAGAGTTGTAACAACTACTGGCATTCTCAAGGACCTTGCTGCCTAGAACTTCAGTCAAAGTGACAGATACGTAGCACGAGAGACTTTGTATAAAAATGTACTACAGTGTCATGTCACACATTTCAATAATATTTAAATCATTCTGACCAGCAACAATTATGCCAATGGTGATCTTCTGGATTCTGACAAATTATTTGGGGAACATACTGCCTCCATCTTTGGGGCAGGGAAGTATTAAGTTACACTTTCTGACAGCATTTAATACTGTCCTAGTACTTACTAAAATTTGTGAATGCAGACAGGAACCATGTGAGTACACTGATGGATTCCGAATTTCTTGTTCTAAGGATCTCGATCAACTGTACAACTTTGCTTGATGCCGATATTGGAGTGCACATGGGCTGAAACAGAACATTCAGTCATAATAAGGATGTCACATTAGGTACAACATATTACTAGCTGATGGCATTATTACTGTCATGATTATTATTATCAACATTATTATTGTTGTTGAGTTATTATTACTATTATTATGCTTGTTGTTGTACTGTTATTCCTATAATACATTAATACAAACAGGAATGATTGATAGGAACAATATGTATCATACAATAAATATTTATAAAACTTACATATGTATAGCAATTGCATATACAGTGCACTGAATTACTTATTTATGGTTTATTTAACAACACTGTTAATACTTCAGATTACATGGCATCAAGTGTTATGATGATAACTGAATAATGAATTGGAAAAGATGCAGATGGAAGCAGTTGACACATAATTTAAGGTATTATTTTGGAATTTGCCTGGGGAAAGTAAGGCAGAAGAAAAAGTCACTCAGGGCAGTATTGGATTGAATACTGCTACTATTACTGCAAGTAATAATATAACAAGTTAGGATATGCACACATAGTTTAACAATCTTGTGCATTTGCCAGAATTTAACCTCCGAATTCAGTTAATAGCTGGGAATTTCCATGCTGAATTCCTTAGGTGGAGTTCACCATCCTATCACAAAACTTCAAATTTACGCTGTTTCACTTCAGCTGAGTTAGTACAAGAACCGTTTTCCTAGGGAAGAGGAACTAATTATATTACAATCAGCAGTAGTAGTAGTAGTAGTACTAATAAAGATAATAAAGCAAAAGGCTTCACAAATTGTCTTGAAGGGTAAAATTACCAACAGGAAATGTGTAACAAAGGACGCTAACTCTGAAAAAACACTGGGGAAAATATGAAACCCATGAACGTAAGAGATCACATTAATAGGCTGCAGTATACTGGCATAACAAAGTTACTGTTATTTAACATACATAATTAGGTTGGTACAATGATTTATTAGAAAACAGGTCCCAATATTCAACTTACTAAAGGTCTTCCAATGGATCCTTGCCACAAGTAATTTTAAGAGGTACTCAGCACAGAGTTTTGAATCAAGTTTGGCAACCACATGCTCAAAATATGCAGTGTATTATAGTACTTACTGCAAGAACTGCTAAGATTGTTTTGGGAAGCAGGCCAAAGACAAAGGCACCTGTAATTCCTATGTACAGCCCAAACAAAGCAAAGCTGTTCATACCAAGGAATCCCATATATTTCAGCACCAGAAAAATTAGGATTATTTGTTGGACTAAAATGATGGGATACTCCATATAAGAAAGGAGTGAATAATTGTTACAGTAATTGTAACATGTCATAACAGTGTAACTGAAAAGAGAAGGAAACATGTTACTTTATACACAGAACATGCCAAAAACCAATACCACTCAAACGTGAATCTGCAAAAGAAATTAATTCCAAGCTATTGACTGACTGACTGACTGTCAGTAACATCATATCAACTGCTTCATAATTATTGTGTGTTCTCTGCATGAAGAGAATGAAATGAAGCCACTATGCTAATATGAAAACACTTTTCTAGAGGGAAACCAAACAAAAAGATAGTCATTCAGGATTGACAGCCATGAAGAACAATTAATAATGATCAACACAACAAACAAATTATTAACCTCAAAATCACACATTCATTCACTAATAGGTTAATATATGTAACCTAGCATAATACAAGAGACTGACACTAGACAGAGGAAAAGTGCTTGTTAACTTGGAACAGAAATGACATGATATAAGAATACACAAGAAAACCTCTTACCATAAAATACATTTTACAATTAACATAAACATTACTTCTCACAAATGTTTCATCAGAAAATAGCAGCAGCTTATCACAAAAATATACCGACGCTCAAGAACCCTTAATGGAACTTGTAGATGTGAAAATCAAAACATGCAAAATACATATATAAAACAGAGTTGTGTATTTATGATTTGAGGTTCTCACAGCAGACAGTATGAAGATAGCTGTCTTCTGACAGAACGTCACCAACAATTCAAGTACTCACTGCCTCTATCATTAGGATGGCATGTCATCCTAATGATGGAAGCATCTACAACCCATAAGAAGGCAATCTTCACAGTTCTTTAACATTTTACCGGACTACGTGGCACTTCAACCCAGAAGACAGCCATTTTCAGAATTGTTTACAAATTTTAATCACATGGTAACAGAAGCATATGGATTTTGCTGAACAACTGAACTGTAGTCACACCTTGTCAATTCCAGAAGTAATGCATACAAATTGATGCCCACTGTTGACTTCAATTTTACGAGGTTAATTATTTGGGGAATTTTCAAGATAAGACACAATGAAATGGTTATTATACTTAAAAAATCTGCTATGAATTCGAGGGCACCCATCCTTGATAATAATTTAAAACCTATTTAAAACTGAAATCACTGCCAAACAATTATTTTCGCTGTCACAACAAGATCTGTTATTATCGCAAAGCACTCAACGTTTGTATTCACCAATATATAACAAATATAACTCATGGCTACAACCCTTTCCACAGCTATGGCCTTGGAAACATATTGCACGTACCAACATAACCAACATATAGATCGGTAATTCAAAGTTATAATGCACAGCTTCGGCTTTTAGATGAGAGCGGCGACGAAGGTTTGGTGTCAACTAATGTTTCGGCAAACATTGCAGATGCCATTTTCAATGTGGATATGAGGTGGGCAAGTTCTCATGGCGATTTCTGAATTTGGCAACGTAGGTTGCGATTGACGTCACGTATTGTTCTTCCATCAATCCACAGTGGTATTATAATTAATATAGAAACGATCTGGTGGTACCAATTGATATTATACCATGGTAGTACCCACTACCAAGAAGTCTGTCGGCAACACGTAACCACTAACCAACTACTCTAAACATCACCCCCACCACCTGCATTCACAACACAGAAACAGCCAGTTTTACAGATTTGAAGATTACTGTTTTGTGGGATATTGTCTTGAGGTACAGCAGAAACTAACCGACGTTTCAGAGGTAGTTATTTGCCCACTGAATGATTGCCAGTATCATACTCTACCACACCATGAAAGAAGGAACAATTATATGTTGCAAAAGAAAAATCTCTTTCACATTCTATCTATCTATGTTGGTACTGCTGTTCTACAGAATTATAGCTATAGTGTCATATATCATGACTGTCACATGTAGAATCATAAAAATAGTTAATTGGTCGAAAAGTTATTAGAATGGGACATAGACACATGGATATGATGATGTTATAAGTCTTCTGAGAGTCAAATAAAATGTTTGACGACCATTTGTTGGTACATCCCCCCTTTCTAGAAATCCATCAGAACCGTCTTACCTTATTGAATGAAGTCTTACAATTGACAGACTGTTTAAACATTCTTTAATGCACTACTCAGAAAATGCAATGTATATGCTGAGTGTGGCATGAATTTCTGCTTTGTCGAGTAGATTTTTCCCCCACTTTATGTCTGGAAGTACATGATCATCTTACATGGAGGTTCTACTGTATATTTTACCAATAAAAATTGGAGATTCCTACAATGCTCTGAATGAGAGACATGTTTTCTGTTTTCCTTAATACTGACATTCAAAAAATGGTCTGATAACTCTCAACTAACAGAAATCAAGTGTTCAACACTGCCAGTACAAAACCCCACAACCTTCCATCCTTACATATCTCCCTATATTCTCTGTTATCAAATACTTTGGCCTGTACATTAACATGAAGACTACAGTTACAAAATCATATTCTAAGAGATAACAAGTTAACAAACGACATTAGACCCAAGTTTGACATAACAGAGATTACAGATTATTTCAGGTATTTTGGAAGCAAACTTGTTAATACCTGGAGATTATGAACTTAGATATCAAGAAAAAAAATAAAGTTTTATCAAGGCTCAAGGTCAGTTTGTATAAAACATACTTCATATTGGCAGCAGCAATCTGAGCTAAAACACAAAGAAAGACCAAATGATTGCAGGCATCTTTAGTGGGATTCCTGTTAACAATGACTGAAATTCTAGAATAGACAAAGGACTGATTCACATAGAAAATATTAAGTAATATTGCAGGAATAAGGATACACACAAGATACTGAAGCAGCAGTTGTGACATGTCTCATGAGTGCACCTATTCAGACATTCAATTGTGTTCACAATAATGACATATTCTTTATAGTTTCTTGCATCAATTTTATGAATTCTTCATTACTGTAACTTTTCAGGGATTTCTGGAAAGGAGAACTGTAATGGAGAACAACTCCTATCAGCTTCACACAGTTGTTTGTTTGTATATTTCATCAGTGATAATGGTTTTATAATTTTATGTCAAAGGAAAGGGCTGGAATGATCAGGACAGTTTCAAATATATCAATAAAAAATAAAATTACAAAGGCATCAAAGTGAAGATGTGTAAACAAGTGACAGGGACCAGAGATGTGAGAAAAATATAAGTTACAAGGCTAAAGGTTATGGTTAAGACAAAGCAGGTAATGGAAATGTGTTTATAAGTGTGACAACCTGCAGAAGTAGATATTTCTGGGGATAAAGATGAAGGACAGAAGACAGGAGCCAATTTCAGACAAAACAGAAAAGCATTTTAAGTATAACCAAATTTATATCATAAAATAATATACATCTAGTACAAGAAAAACAACAAATTTGAAATGCCTTAATACTGACCACCATTACAGAATGAACATGATGCTCTGAATACTGATACCAGTAATATTCATCTGGTTTCTAGTATTCGAGAGTTCAACAGCAAGAGTAAGAGGACGAGAAACCCTGTTGTAAGCAGTTCAGTGCAACTGATGTCAGATGCAAAGAGTTATAATAATATCAATATTACATTGAATTATTAACCTCAAGTACATTCCAAAGGCAGAGATAAAACCATTTTCATGATGGTGTCAGCTCCTGCATATCATCCATCATGTCAAGTGCTTCATTGGGAGCTGCATACCGTGCTGATGAACCAGAATCTGAAAGTGAATCATACAGAACAAATAAGAGAAGACACTTAAACACACTCAGCCAATACTTCATAAGCATGAATGGGTTAATTTTTTAAATTATTTAATCACAAAGTTCTTTCTCACAAAATGTCTTTTTTACTGTTTTGATCTTCATATGGTTTTATGAATATACTTCACTGTATGATCTGAAGCTTTCACAGTGACCATGTATAAGGAATTCTTGTCAGACTAGCAGCCATGTCAGGTGGTTTAACAAATGAAACGGTGTTTTCTCCATTAAACCACCTGACATGGCTGGTAGCCTGAGAAGAATTTATTAAATATATTTCACTGATATTTGAATAGGTTATGTAAGGTTAGCGATGTGCATGTGCAGAGGATATGTGCAATAGTGTCATAATAATTACACTTCACAAATTGAGGCTACAGTCTCAGTATCACAGGATGAAGAAGTTAAATCTGTGAGTCTGTATTTGTTGCATTTGGTCCATGCCAAATTTTAATTTCTATACACACATTTCATTATCAAGTGCTTGGAAATCAACATAATTTGTGAATCCACTAGTTTATGCTGTTTGGTTTGGTTAGGTTAGGTTAATGAAGTACATATGCAGATGACCAACATTTTAAAAAAATTAAATTTTCAAAAACTTAATCATGCCAAAAAACAACAAACAAAATTTTTTTATTTATGTTTTGTTTTTTATTGGAAACATCTGAATATTTTTATTATATTCAATGTTTCTTAATATAGTAAAAAGTGTTAACATTTTGAAAATTTGGTTGAGCCATTGTGGTGAAATCTCACTGACTGAACTATCCTATCTCAAAAACAAAAGGAATGCCCAATGAAACAAAAGGTGATCCAAACTCATTACATTTTATTTATACATGCAACACTTGTAACCACATACTCAATGCAGCACAACATAACTAAGTACAAGTTAATGAAAATGCATGAAGTTTAAATACAGTATAAAAAATTTCAAATTTATTTCAGTGAAAATACAACATCACCTCAAGCCTAATGGCCCTGTGCTGTATTTTTCAAAGAAGTGATTGAAGACATACAATGTAAAGTTTTAAGCACCTGAGGCACAAACATTTTGCAAAAGGTAACATGAAGATTTAAATGTAAAACTTTAAAGATCCACAATAAAGAACTAGAAGAGAACAATGAAAAGAGTAAAGTGAATGCTAGTTATAAATAGAATATGAAAGTTAAACGATATCCAAAAAACTAAGCATTTTTTTGACAAGTTTTAAATCAAAGCATCCAGTAAAATACCCAACAAAACTGAACATGTAATTGCACTATATATATGGCACAAGTCTTCATTCAAAAGCTGGCATTACTCAGCTGGTCAAGAAATTCCCTATTTTATGCAATCTGAAGGTTCATCACTGTGTTCAGGAAAGCCTGTCACTGGACCCAATCCTGAAGAAGACAAATGCAAAGCATAGCATCATACCCTGCTTCTCTAAGATCCATTCTAATATCATGCTACCACACATGTCTAGTCTGCTTAGTGGTTTAAAAGCATTTTATTAACACACTATTTATATTATGAGTGTTTATTACCAGACTTTTATCGTGAGGTTGGCTTAGCATTCTGTCCACAAAATCCACAAATGGAGCTGGCAGTATGGGCTGAATTCAAATCTCTAACTTTCTCAATATGCTTTGTCTTTCTGCCTATGGAAAACTGTATGAGATATTTGACGTCAGTTTCCGAGAAGCTGGAAGTGTTATTTTTCAAAAGTGTTTAATCCTTACCTCTAGCCTGCTCACTGCCTTCTCTCTTCCTGCCTATGATGATCTGCACCAGGAAATGTACAACAAACAAGCCCAGTGAGACTATACCATAAATTTGGAATGTTGTTGCCCCATCAAACTTGTCATACAGTATACCTCCTAGCAGACTGCCTACAGACACACCTAGAAAACATAAAAAATGATGGTATTTCAATTTGTATTTCTATTTTTGCTTATTTTCAGTTCTTTGTCAAGTGCACAGGATATATCAGTAAATGAGAAATGACAGCATGATTACAAAGAGTGAACTGGGATGAATATGAAAGGAAATAGCAAGAAAACAAGTTCCAGAAGCATGAAAGAATGTGACATCACACATCTTGCCTATTATTTTGCACCAAGGTAATGCATATAATCATTTTATGCATTTTAAAAAGAACCAATGACTGTGTAGCAATCAGACAAGACACAGAAAACTGGGACAGTTTTGTCTTCCTGTTGGATTGAAGAAACTGAAAAGACAAATGGATTTTATAAATAAAACTTTAACATACTAACACAGTACTTACCAACTCCTTCAAACACTGCCCCCACAGTTCCCTGAACAGTGGCCTCTGTGCCAGGAGGAGCCACTACGCTGGCATATGATGTCATTGTCGCATAAAATAATCCGAATGTGAATCCCTGAAAGAGTTCCACTGGAAGGCACCACCAGGGATTCTTGAGAATAGAGTATATGATAAATCGTATACCAAATGCAAAGAGGACAAGCGACATGGCATGTACATGCCCAATTTTACGAAGAATACGACCTGCAATGAGAAAATTACATTAACCAATATGAGTTTTGCAATGGAGATAAAAGTTGTGAAAATCAGGCATCACAGTTGTTTACAGTGACTCATTTACCTTTAACACCTTACATCACAATTCATCCATTCTGAGGTAAATAAGATATTACTGTAACTCAGAGCAATTACTATCTATAAATGAAAACTTCTGTACAGGTATAAGTTTGTGCTAATAAAAATCACCTTATTAACAAACAGCCCATACAACATAAAGCATTTCCAGGTTTAAAAAAACCTCCCCTCATGTCATTAACCTTGATCATATGGGAATAAGAGCTTTAGACTTAGTTTTACTCAAAATTAGGTGCTAGCTTATTGTGGACAGACGGGAAGACATGATGAAACTAACAGGTGATGTTCTAAATGCTATTTTCTGTACACACCTATAACCATCTATTCTTAGTTTATGAAGACAGAGAAATCAGGAGAAACACTAACCAGACAGAAAGAGGAATGGCAGTTCTCCACCAAAACACTGTACACCCATCACAAGACCTTCAATTGTCTTCATCCAGTGCAGCATGTCACAACCTTCTGTAGTTGCCAGATCCTCCAGATGCCTGCAAATAATGTGTGGATGTAACTTCACATACTACTCTGAGAATTGATAAAAATGTTTTACTTTATATATTAATTTACTCAACTCTTGGTTATCCAGGGTACTGAAAGGAAAATATGTAACAAAACTAAAATTGTGGGTAATGGTATAAGTACATGTAGGCATTCTGTATAAATACATCACTGCTGAAGATTATATGACTGCTACACAAATGCCATTTAGTGTTAAACCGAGAAAATGCACTCTTCAGTGTTTCCATTATTAGTAGAATGTGCTCAAGTAAAGCTATTAGTGGAAATAATGTTTAGAAGAACTCATCATCACCTTTCATTATCAGTTTGTTACAGGCATCACAAAGCATATTTTTTCTATCTATTTTTTGTGTTTATTACACTACTTCTTCTGGGTTGTGATGTCATGTAAACTCACAGGCAGAAACCAGTGTTTCATAGAAAGATGCAGTCTCCATCTTCACAGCTAAAGAAAGATCTACCCAAGAGTCTATGCAGTGTCAAAACCCAGAAAAACACGGTCATTCTCATTGCCATGAGTACCTAATTCTTCTGAACTTATATTCTACAACGTCTGGGGTTTCCTAACAGGCTTAATTTTTTCCAATTTCTCTTGATGTCTAGAATGCACAAAACTCTGAGATGGCATAATGCTTATCTAATCATGGTCAACTTATCTCTATCCTGAGATAAATAAATATCTGAAAATGTTGTTCATAGTAGCAAATATTTTGAAGTGAACAGCTTATTTCATTGTTTGCTTCAGTAATCTATCTAATTCATCACAGGGATAAAGCGCATTACCAGAAAAGGAAGTTCCACTGTAGACCGGTGGATAGTCCAACAGCTACGCACCAGAGCATAAAAATCACAATTCTTATTTCAGTAAGAAGCTTCCCCACATCTCGCACTATACTGGTCGATAATTTTGTCTGGCTGTGCTGCACAAGAGAAAAAGAACACTGTACTGTATGTGATTGCAGCTGGGTATCAGTTCTGGTTCACCAGTTGCTTATGAGGAGAAAACTTTTCTCTGTGGAACAAGAACACAGACTGGGTACGTTTCAGAACAAAGTTCTGAGGAGAATATCGGGGGGAGTAACTGAAAGATAAATAATAAGGAACTTCACAACTTCAAAACTGTTATCAAATGTCAATGTCAAATGACAAGCTTACCTGATTTTAATTGTAGAGAAGTGGTCATGTGCATGTTTAAGTAACACCACAGTTTACCAGGAGGGACTGCACAACACCAAGAAAAATATCAGTCAGGAGAACCAATCTCTGGGCCTAGGTTTAAATCCAGGACCTCTCATATATGAAGCAGAAGTATTAACATTTGGTAACTGGAGGCATTTCACAGACATAATTTAATCCTAAAATTTGCCACTCACTAACCTTAAGTCTTGAGGACACAATAACATCAAGTATCAACATGAAGAGCATTAGATAGAAGACAACTGTGTAGTCCTTTTGAGCACGCCCCTTGCTCAATTCATCTACAAGAAAGCCTGAGATTATAGCAAATATTCCCCACCCAACAGCACCCCAGAGTCGCTGGTGTCCATAACGAGAAGACTGGTCTCCTGAAACAAAAAACAACTTGGCTAAGCATTCATAATATAACTACATTGATAGTCTTTATTATTAGCAACATCAACTGACATTAGTATAACTACCAACTGTCAAGAAATTGTAGAGTACCAACAATATGCATCTGAATAAATGCAGGTGACAGCATATTGGAAATTTAAGAATCCCAAAAAGTGAAATCTTAAATGTATGTGTCTGAATCCCACATGGGCTTCACAATTCTATAGTATGTGAAGCAGTTTACTCCCTTGTTCAAACACCTACAACAAACAAGATTTTCTATAAGATCTTAGCTGACCATAAAGGAAAGCAGCAACCAATGTAACAATCATGTAAAGCAGATAGGTCATACCCAGGCACAGCTGCCAAAAAATCTCCCTGTATTAACCCCATTCTGGATGTCAATTTAGGCAACGATGTCTGTTAATTCTGGCACAAGTCTCAACTGGTTCATATATATTTATAATAGTCCCCTACTCATGTTCTATGAAGGACCTTGAATGAAACTCTTCAAATGTTTCTGCAGTTATAGTCTCTCTGTGTTCAGAGTGTTATCTGTTCAGGGCCAAAAGGCTTGTTTACTTAACTACTTGGGATGTTGCAAGTTCATACATGGTCCTATAAATGAATCTTCAGACCCTTCTTTTGTCAATAAAACAGTGATTTCACTGCCATCTTCCTCAGTATCAATGCTCATTACAAAGCATACAAATGTTTGTATACAGACCTGCCAACTTACCCAACATCTCAAAACAAATTGCATCACCCACACACACAACAACAGCCATGCTGACCCAGCTGAAAACCATGAGGAGAAAGAAGAGCCAAAACTGGTAGAAATCTGCAACGTTCACGTCATTCACAGCAGGCTCCCTGAACACCTACATGTCAGCAAAGATAAATCCAAGCTACACTTCAATTAAATTGACTATAACGTCAAACAGATCAGCTTACTGTATATCAACCCATAGAAATCACTAATGCCTTGTGCTGGCATAGCAAGTAAGACTAATAATGCAGGATGGTGTCTGTTCCAGGTAATATCAAAGTACACTTGTGGGCACTGTCAAATAACATATCCTTTTTATTTCATATTGTTACCAGGCAACTTTTAAGCCACTGGCTTGCATTACCCAAGTCAATCATAAACCAATTCATAAAAAAATGGATCACCTCATTGACAGCAGGATCTCTGCACTGAACTCTGCATGGTGTTGTAGTTAGGTTCCTGCAGTAAGGTACATGAAATGAAGATCCAATGAATGCACGATGCACTCTGAAATGCAGGCATGAACCAGTCTGCTGGTAAACAAAAAAAGTCCTATAAATCTGTGATCTGGATGAACATGTCAATGACCCCATGACATGTAACCAACCATAGACATTATCAATGAATCTCACTTTAACAGCACCTGACAAGCTTAAGTGTGTATAAATACCTCTGATGATGTCTGTAAGGTATGGCTCAAGGGTACTTCAGCATCAAACTGCAGCAAGTTAATGTCATTCATCAAATTACAATACTGTGAAACATTCCAGACTTCACAGACTTCCTTTGTGAACCCAGCATCTGCTGCACATTCCAACTGTAACAAAACATAGTCATACACTACCTCACCCAATAAAACTTCAGAGTCATCACCACAAAAGCCACATATCTCAATGTACTAGCAAGTTTCAGTTTATTTCAGTCTTTGATAACTTTTTTTACATTCTCAAGAAAATGTACTACAAATGAAAAGTTTTTAATGAAAAAATATGACGACAGAATGTCTTGAATTTGCAGTGTCAAATGGGTCTTTGTGTATGAGCCCCTCATTATGAGAATGATGACAGATGAGTATGGAGCACTGAAAATGTTGGCAATTCTTTACTTACATATCAGTCTAGTTATTCAATTATCAAACATCACAGTGTGTCATTGCTGCATCTACCTCCCCGGTCAGATTATCAATAAGATATTACTTTTCATGCCAATACAATGCAAGTGTTTTATACAAAATACTGACCTCACATAATATAGTACCATTGTTTGATGTTTCAGCCATTAAGCGAGCTGCAGCGCAGTTGTTTGTATCATTACTACATATCTTGAAGTAAGTAAGAGCATCACAGTCCAACATGGCCTGAGAGGATGTAGTCTCAGTTTGAATCTCTGGTATATATTGAATCACAAAGAAGCTAATTGCTGTAATGATCTGGAATGCCAGAAAGAGGGTCTTTTGAAGCCGATAATGATCAGCTATTGCACCAAATACTGGCTTAGCCAACATTCCTGTGATTGGAAGTACTGTGTAGATCATACCCACAATTGTGCTCGAAAAACCCAGCTGACGAGCATAGATTGGCAAGAATGGAACAACCGGTGCTGTGCCTGGAATGGAAAGCATATGTATCATCATACTGAGTAGCCCAGAACATACTCAAACTCAATTTACAGTATGCTAACAAACACAATTTATTAATGAGATTATAAAGCTATCTTAAATTAATGATTACCAATCACTTTGTCCAGAGAAATTTCATTATTGTGGACTTGAAGCACTCACCAGCATTCCACAAGAAGTATTGACCTTTCAATGGCAGGAAGTCCAAATTGACTTTTAGATTCACCATTCTGAAAAGAATATATGTATATGTATGTCTATTGTAATCAGTCTTCTAAATTATACAAGTCTTGGTCACAGAAACTGGACTAGAATCTGAAAAAAGAAAGAAACATCAACATACATGTCACATACAGTTCGTATTTGTCACATAGTTTCATTAACACTTTCCACTGTGAGTTAAATTTGGAAAAAAATATTTTTTCTGTTTATAACATTGGTGATTTATAATTTCCAGTGCTAAAAATCTGTACATATTTAGCACAACTACCAACTGATGCCAGAACCTACTCTCACTAATATTCTCAAATGCAAAATAAATTAAAAGAAATACTTAATGCTTTGCATAAGTTATATGGTTTTAATTGTTTCTGTTTTCTCCATTACCCCTTTGTTTCAACAGAAAACTCCATAAGACAGATGGGAGAAATAAGAAACCAACTTCACAGCATGGTTCTCATATCAACATATGCAAAGTATACCTATTGATGACAAGCGATGTAATTGTTCAGGTAGTACACTATTGCTAGAGGCTCACAGGTTTCTTAAAATTTATTCCACACTCTCAACCCATTTAGAAGATCCTGCAACAAATAAAAATGTCTATTAGACTTGGTGTAAAAAGTATTAAAACTGGAATCAAACAATGCACCTCATGAGTGACAATTTTTCACAGACGGAGATAAAAATATAAGATTTCAATGCTGCAAGGCAATGAAATATTATTAATTATCAATAGATATTTTTATTACTGTTGTCACATTATTTTTCACCAAATATTTAGTCAACTTATGTTATGTTTATGAATATGTTTCATATGTTATAAAATTCTCAAAAATCATCACATTTATTTATACATGCTCAGAATTTTTAACTGTAAACCTTGCGGCACATTGATTAAATTGCTCAGAATATTTCGTTGAGGTTAATTCTTCTATGGAGTAGGAGTGACATAGGAGATATTCTTTTAGTGCTGGCTAAACGTTTTATTAGTAAGTAATGAAGTGTGATAATGTAAATGTTAGTCTGTTGGATAAAATCACTTGCTCACACAAGCACCACTAATACCAGCCACTCTTAAAACAATGAGAGCAAACTGATTAAACCACTTACCCCGAAAAACGAAAAATCACCTTCTACTCGCCTTGGTTCATACCTCCACCAGCAATTTCATCTACATGCAGGCCAACTATATAGCACAGATAATACGAGCCGCAGAGCATACCAGAACTATATAGTGTGAAACTTCAGTGAGCCTAACTTTCAAACAGTACAGCTATTGTTAAGAGATGGCGAACTCATATAGAACACTCATGCCACATTAAGTCCGAAATTCAAACTAATTCCGTTCAGTGCTCCTGGTATGTAATTGAAGCAAGAATGGTATACGACAGATAAAATTAAAAATATCTGCAACTTCGAAAACTGTTTTTGTCACGCTAAAATTTTTCCATCATAGGAGTATCCATGTCCTCTCAAAATCCAGTGGTAACAATATTAACCACCTGTGTAATGTTACTGACACCCGGATTATAACTTATAAGACAAATTGGAATAAGTTATCGAAACCATTTTGAAATGAGTTTCAGATGTTCAAAGACTCTTCTGAGTTCTATGTAAAGAACGCCCAACGTCGTGTGTCTGTAACCTAATATAAAATTTCTCAAAGGGGATCTCCTTTGAGAAATTT